GACTGGGCTGTGTTTTCGTTCGTGCGATGAACGGTGAGCCTTCCCGTGAAGCTTCATCGACGGATGCCATCACTCCTACCGCATCTCGACTCTGTTCGTGACGGTTTGAAACGAGCTTGTCCTCCTTCCGCTTAGCGCCTTTTAAGAGTTTACGTAAGTGGTAAAATCTCAGCCTGACTTGCCTAACAGCTCAAGTCTGGCTTGAAAGGTCAGTGGTGCTTCTTGGTCGACCGGCCTGTCGTCAGAATACACCCTGAGTCCTGCTCAGCAGGGATTCCCGCGGCCACTGCTCGCTTATTTACTTGCTCACTAAACTTCGCGTGCGCCTTCCGAATCCACGTCATTTCCGCTCCTTACTCCCTCTCTCGCTGCTCACTTCCGTTTGTGTTTCCCCAGCCGCGTGACACGTTAGCAGCTACAACGCGCTGCTGCTGCAGAAGCTTCGCTCGTCGGTGCGGACTAAACCAGCCGCGGAAATGGGTTGTCGTCGTCAGGCTCATGAGTGGTGGAGATTAGCTGATACCAGCTTCTTCAGCCACCTCACTAAATGCGCGATCCGTGAATATGTATATATTACGTACCATTTCCTGAATATATACGCGATTGCTGAAACACATCCTTCCCCTGGGAACACGGCTAGCTTTCGCGGGTTTTCGTACTGATCAGTACTACAAGGCTTTGTCGGCGATACCGTCTTCGCTAACTTCGCAACAGAATCGCTTGATACCCGCGCCGGCTAGTCGCGCCGTGTGTCATGGCGGCGACAGTTCAGTGCAGCTCACAAGGAGGATTGTCCACCCTCTGTAATGCCAGCCTCACCCTGCGTCTCTCCCACCAGTCATCTTCTCCCCTCCGCCTCTTCCATCGCCGCTTAAACCGCTGCTTTAACCTTCACTCAGCCGCGACGGCTGGTGTATCAGCGCCATCCGCGGATGCTGCTGCTGTTACGAGATTAGTAAAAGTTGTCAATGGCGGTGCCGCTGGTACCAACGCGCTAACCGCAGCCGTCGAGAACTTCGCGACTCGGTCGATATCCGTCGCAGCCCAGGCCTCTTTAATCGCCTCCGTCGCACTCCTCGTCAGCAGCTCGCCCGCGGTAGCGGCTGATGACGTGGCAGTTGACGTGGCAAGCGCTCCGCTTCCGCAGGAGATTCGACGCTCAAGCGACGCGTCGCGCCAGGAAAACGGCATTCCGTTTCTTGCGCGAGTCGCGGCTTCTCAACTGCGAACCGCGCCGCTCTTAACGGTCACATCCACTGACATCCTAGAAACGACGGACGCTGCGGAAACGGCGGCGGCGGAGACGGCGGAAGCTCCCAAGGTGCTGGACGGAGCGCGTCTGCTGACGGAAAGCCAGCGCGGCGCGATGCTGCGACAGCTGTCGGATCTGGAGTCGCGCGACGGGTGGCGGATCCGCGTGGCGACGCGGTACGGGGTGGAGAGCGGTTTAGATGGCAAACAGATCCGCGACTTGTGGCAGGTGAGAGGCTGGAAGAGGGGGAAAAGGGGGGAAGGGTGGGGGGGGTGGGGGGTGGAGGGGTGGGAGGAATGAAGAGCGGAATTTGTGGGGTATTGAGTGATTGTGTGAAAGGAAGTGGGTGTATCAGCTAAAAGTAGCGACCTTGATTGGGTGATTGAAACATGGTTGAGGGTAAAGGGGTAATACGGTAGGAGCATAAGAGTTTACGAGAACAAGAGAGAGTGAGAGTGAGAGGTGTGAGGGAAGACTGCTGGGGAATGGGAGGTTGTAGGAACCAAGTGACTGGGAATGGTGTCGCCATTGAACTCTGGAAAGTTGTGAACCTTGGAGGATATAAATCAGGAGCGCGACATTGTGACTTCAAGAGAGCAGCGCTTAAGTAATAACGAGGATGAGCCTGAGGGCCTGGGAGCTTCTTTTATGAAAAAAAAAAAAAAAAAAAAAAAACAGATATTAGAGGTGGCGAATCTTCCATGCTCAAACTCTGTGTTTTGTTTTTCCAAGTCATGCCGCTCTCCCCTCGTTGCTCACATCTCCAACTCATGGCGAGATTTTCATCATACTTAGAGGTGCCCCTCCCCTTTGCTGCTCACATCACACCTCTGGTCGCTCATTTAGCAAGTCTCGCAACTGAACTCCTTAGCTCATCAATACCTTTAATTCTCTCATTTTTCTCCGCTCGTGTTGCAGCCGTCGGATCGGACGGTGATCGTGGTGGCTGACGTGGCATCACCCAACATCCTCAGCTTCAGCATTGGAGAGGCTGTGCGGTCCAAGCTGCCCTACCAGTTCTTCACAGAGCTGCAATCCAGGTAATTCCCCTTTTAAGGTGTCTCAGTTTCCTGTACAAGGTTCACATTTCAGTTGCCATCAGAGAGGCTGTGCGGTCCAAGCTGCCCTACCAGTTCTTCAAGGAGCTACAGTCAAGGTGCGTTAATGCATATATGTTACATATATTTTTATAAACTGGTACATATACATACCGAACTGGTACTACACTACAAGGCGCTTCTCATTGTAGTTACCATCTGGGTGTAGCAGCAAGGCTGTTCTATCCAAGCTGCCCTGCCAGTTCTTCACATGCCCATCTGGGACCACCACATGCTCTTACCCCCTCCACCTCCTCCCCTCCATCTCCCTCTCATCCATTTTCTCCACCTCTCTCCACATCCCTTCTGCCGCGCCTCTGCCTCCCCTCTCATCCTTCCGTTCACCTGTCAACCTTCTTTTCACTTGCATTGCTTAATTACCTGCTTTCCTTAGAAACCTCTCCTCCTTTCACTCGTCCAACCCTTGTGTCCCGAACCCGTACCTCCACGTCAGGTACGGCAATCAGTTCTTCGTCCGGCAAGAGGGCGAGTCCGAAGCTCTCACTCGCTCCGTAGACGCCATCCAAACCTGCCTTGCCGAACCTAACGGCTGCCTCAAGGTCCCAGGCCTGGTAGACGACCTATACTTCCTCACGCTCGGCGTCTCCGTAGCTGCAGGTGCAGTTTTTGGCTTTTCTGCGCGGCTCCCACCCCAAGGCCAAGTGGAAGCTTCCTGGCAATGGGTGGCCATTTTCTCACCCCTCTGGCTGTTATTGCTGCTGGCATTTGGGGTGTTCCCTGTGGTAGATCGGACGGCTGATCTTGAACCGTTGATTAAGAATCTGTTAGGGTTTGCAGGGGGCGCAGGTGCAGTGTACATGACACCTATTTTGGGGGAAAGCCCTGTTGCTAGGTTAGGAAAAACTCAGGAGGATGGGGACGTTTGAGTGTGCATTTGGTTTTGGGGTCGTGTGGTGTGATGGTATCGGGGCTAGTGTGAGGTGTGGTGGGGTGTGGTTTGTGAAAAATACATTTGCATGTGCTGCAACTGCAATCATGCTCCGTAAGCTGTAGGTCTGAGACTGTCGCAGCACAACACATACCGTACCAGTAACATGTGCTTCATTGGCCTTCGTTTCTGGTGAGTTCTACTGTCCTGCTAGCCTCCACCTGACAGTCCATCAGGAAAAAGCCGCATGGGCGTTCTGGTTTTGGCAAGCAAGCCAGACTTGCAGAAAAGACAAAATGACCAAAAGCATGCACCAGGCTACTAAAGAAAATAAACCCCAACACATTACACCGCCCTCATCCACATCCTCCAAAGGGTAACCCAACCAGCACAAGATGCCATGGGATGGTAATAAGATTTGTATCGACTACTTCGCATGTCAAGGGCGTCATGTGTTGTGTCATGTCATGTCATGTCATGTCATGTCATGTCATGTCATGTCATGAGATGCCATGGGATGTGGCATGTCACTGCTGCAGTCATTTCTTGTTCTGGTTGAAGCGCACTTGCTGGGAGCATGGCAATGGGTGGGACTGGGATGGGAGTAGGAGGGAGATTGGATTGGATTGGGACGACTAAGTAAGCCGGCTGTGAGAGCAACAGGGGGATTTGAATTGAGACGTCTCAAAATATTTATTCCACACTTTCAGGATCACCACTGCGCCATCAGCTCACCTTGAGCAGCGAGAGGAAGTAAGCCGGTTGTAAGTGCGTGCAAAGGCTTTCAGACTCTCCGCGTCTTAACCCACCTTCAACCCAGCTCACCACCGCCAACCAGCTCACCTTGAGCAGCGAGAGGAAGTATGCGGGCTGCGAGTGCTTGCTGGCGCTTTCAGACTCTTTGTGTCTTAACCCACCTTCACCCCAGCACTCCACCACCGACACACCACCGCCAACCAGCTCACCTTGAGCAGCGAGAGGAAGTATGCGGGCTGCGAGTGCTTGCTGGCGCTTTCAGACTCTTTGTGTCTTAACCCACCTTCACCCCAGCACTCCACCACCGACACACCACCGCCAACCAGCTCACCTTGAGCAGCGAGAGGAAGTATGCGGGCTGCGAGTGCTTGCTGGCGCTTTCAGACTCTTTGTGTCTTAACCCACCTTCACCCCAGCACTCCACCACCGACACACCACCGCCAACCAGCTCACCTTGAGCAGCGAGAGGAAGTATGCGGGCTGCGAGTGCTTGCTGGCGCTTTCAGACTCTTTGTGTCTTAACCCACCTTCACCCCAGCACTCCACCACCGACACACCACCGCCAACCAGCTCACCTTGAGCAGCGAGAGGAAGCATGGGGGCTGCGAGTGCTTGCTGGCGCTTTCAGACTCTTTGTGTCTTAACCCACCTTCACCCCAGCACTCCACCACCGACACACCACCGCCAACCAGCTCACCTTGAGCAGCGAGAGGAAGTATGCGGGCTGCGAGTGCTTGCTGGCGCTTTCAGACTCTTTGTGTCTTAACCCACCTTCACCCCAGCACTCCACCACCGACACACCACCGCCAACCAGCTCACCTTGAGCAGCGAGAGGAAGTATGGGGGCTGCGAGTGCTTGCTGGCGCTTTCAGACTCTTTGTGTCTTAACCCACCTTCACCCCAGCACTCCACCACCGACACACCACCGCCAACCAGCTCACCTTGAGCAGCGAGAGGAAGTATGCGGGCTGCGAGTGCTTGCTGGCGCTTTCAGACTCTTTGTGTCTTAACCCACCTTCACCCCAGCACTCCACCACCGACACACCACCGCCAACCAGCTCACCTTGAGCAGCGAGAGGAAGTATGCGGGCTGCGAGTGCTTGCTGGCGCTTTCAGACTCTTTGTGTCTTAACCCACCTTCACCCCAGCACTCCACCACCGACACACCACCGCCAAACAGCTCACCTTGAGCAGCGAGAGGAAGTATGCGGGCTGCGAGTGCTTGCTGGCGCCGGCACCGTCGAACAGCAGCTTTGGCTGCTCGCTCTGTGGGATAAAGCGAGCGAGTTTATATGGGGTACGATAGGCAACAAACATGGAGAGGAGGGCCGAGAGGACTTCTCAGCAAACATAAAAGAGGAGGGCTGGGGCAACAATGAGGAGGGACCAGCGGAGCTAGAAGACGTGAAGGAAAGAAGCGAGGTGAGGGGTGATTGGATAGTGTTTGCTAGCAAGAGGAAGATTTTCAAAAGCATACCAGGAAGCTAACTGTTGTGATGGTATCGAGTCGTTTCTTAAGGAGGGCATCCTGAGGGACAATTGGCAAAAGGGAGGGGGCAAGTGAGGGGCAAGTGAGAGTAGTGACGGCGCACAATGGCATTGAGTAGGGGGAATGGATATCCTGAGGAGAGTACGGCGCACAACAGGGGCATCCTGAGGAGAGAGCATGCTGGGTAAGTGGAGAGAGCATCCTGAGGGACAATGGGCAAGTGGAGGGCATGCTGGGGGGCATGTTGGAGTAGTGACGACACACATTGAGGTGATCCTTTAGGCTCCTAAAAAATGAGGTGATTTTTTAGGCGCCTTAGAAAATCACAAGGGGCAGTAGTGACGACACACAAATGTACTGAGCCGTTTTTAGGGGTGGGCATCTTGAGAAATCAGGTACATTGTTCCACGGCACAGGGAAAGGCAGTCAGAACGGTGTAACCATGAGGAGCAGCATGGGCGGAGTAGCCGTGGGATAATAAAGCTGTTTTGAGACGTTCCAAAGCAGAGTAGCCGGGGAGAGGAGAAGGCTGGGATGGGGAAACGAAACGGGTTAAAGTACGAAAGTACATAATAGTTATTAATGTACTCAAGTTGTTAGATCTCTACTTAATACTCTCGCATGAAGCAAGATTCGGCCTTTTCCCTGACACAATGCTCTCTCCTCACTCACGCCACTCACTCTGTAACTTCCTTCCTCTCCTCACTGCCTGCCTCACTCCCACCCACCTTGTCTAGTTCCTGCGAGTCGGGCCAGAGCACCACGCCCGTGGCCACGTGCTTGTAGAACATACAGGGGACACGAGACACTATGTCATGGTCGTTGGCAATGCGGTTCACAGCACCACCCCCCGTGGCCACATGCTTGTAGAGCACATACGACACATGCGGCACCAGCACACCCATGACTTTTGAGTCGACTCAAAAGTCAGTACGGCACATGCGGCACATGCGGCACCAGCACACCCATGCACGGACAGCTGTGCTACTCACTCCACTCCCACCCACCTTTTCCAACTTCTGCGAGTCGGGTCGAAGCACCACCCCAGTGGCCACGTGCTTGTAGAACACGTAGGGGACACGCGGCACTATATCATGGTCATTGGCGATGCGCCAGCTGTCACCCACAAGCTGGTTGGGAGGGGTTGAGATGGGTTGGAATAGAAAAGAGAGGAGGGGGGGAGGGGAGGGACAGGTAGAGTATTATGGGGCGGACAGTGCTTGTAGAACACGTAGGGGACACGTGGCACTATGTCATGGTCATTCGCAATGCGCCAGCTGTCACCCACCAGCTGGTTGGGATGGGTTGGGATGGGTTGGGATGCGTCGGGATGGGTTGGGATGAAACTTATATGGCTTGCACGACACCATGTCCAGGTCATTGGCGAAGCGCCAGCTGTCTCCCACCAGCTGGTTGGGTTGGGTTGGGTTGGGATGGGTTGGGATGAAACTTATCGGGCACGCCTAGCTCCATGTTAAGGTCGTTTGGCAACGTGCTAACTGTCAGTACCACCAGTGGCAATTCACTGCTCTCGATGGGGACGCCAAGAGGGAAGGGACCTGACAGCTAAACGATACGCACCTGGTTGAAGCGAGCAGCAAAGGCATGGTTGCCCACACGAGGAGAGCCGAAGTTGTAGAGAGAGAGGGTGAAGGCTTCTTTGACCTTGTGCAAAATCGACCTCTGACACACACATTTACTGCAGCTCTTATGCTTGCCCAGTGAGAAGCACAGCACACACCTGGTTGAAGCGAGCAGCAAAGGCATGGTTGCCCACACGAGGAGAGCCGAAGTTGTAGAGAGAGAGGGTGAATCCGTGCTGCCTGTGGTGGTGACAAGCGACGCAAACATGGGGGAGGGTTGCATTTTAGACTCCTCACAAGCCACACGAGGAGAGCCGAAGCTGTACAAGGTTGTAGAAGGGTTAACCTCACAAGCCACACGGGGTGAACGGTAGCATATGTATGAAGACATATACACCTATCATATACTTGAGCAGCTATATATATTTTTCACACTATTGGCTTATGTATATGTGTACACATTATGTACGTTTTAATCTTAGAGAAAAGGCCACTCACTCCTTTTGACATCACACATTGACAACACACCTTGTCGCATATCATGTTCACCCTTCCTCGCTTGAGGTCAGACTAGGTGAGATTGTATGTGAAGAGTGCGGAGAGTGGAGAGTGGAGAGTGGAGAGAGAGAGAGAGCAACCCAGTGTGACATATCATATTAACCATCATGCATCACACTCACTTCTTCAGGTCGGACTGGGCGAGGTTGTATGTGAAGAGCACCGCAGAGCTCCACACCGCACCGCACAGCACACCACCTTTCTTACTTTTCACCTTCACCACACTCACTTCTTGAGGTCGGACTGGGCAAGGTCGTATGTGAAGAGAGTGGAGAGAGCACCTCCCAGGCTGTGCCCCGTGACCATGATGTGATACCTGGTGGGGCATGATGGGATAGTGGGATGGATGGTTGGTGGCATCGTTAGAAGGAGCAGCACATGGGCTATGCCGATGGAAGGCAAGAGCGCCCTCCAGGCTGTGACCCGTGACCATGACGTGATACCTGGTGGCATCACAGTGGGATGAGGGTTGGTTGGTGGTATGGTGGGACACATGGTGTAGCATTGTTAGGAGAGCGTGGAGAGAGCGCCCTCCAGGCTGTGACCCGTGACCATGACGTGATACCTGGTGGGATGGTGGCATGGTGGCATGGCGATGACATGATGGGATGGGATGATGGCGTGGGAGCAATGCATGTGGAACGGGAGGCAACAAGGATCCATATGCATTGCTCCCATGCTCTTGGAGCATGGATCCTTGGCGTGGGAGGCAACAAGGAAGGATCCTTGCTCCAAGAGCGCCACCGAGGCAGTGCCCCGCGACCATGATGTGGTGCGGAGCGTGGCACAGCACATGATGTGGTGCGGAACGTGGCACAGCACATGATGTGGTGCGGAACGTGGCACAGCACATGATGTGGTGCGGAACGTGGCATAGCACATGATGTGGTGCGGAACATGGCACAGCACATGATGTGGTGCGGAACATGGCACAGCACATGATGTGGGGATGGTGACATGACACCATGGTGGGATGATGGCGTGGGATCAATGTTACTGAATGGGAGGGAACAAGGATCAATGCTGCAACAGCGCCCCCCAGGCTGTGAGCCTGTGCCCTGTGACATGATGCGAGTGTATGCCCTGTGACATGATGCGAGTGTATCTTTCAGAAGGCTCACTTTTCGCTAGAAGATGCGAGAATAGCTTTGAGCAGCAGAAGGAGCCGCGGCTTCACAGACTTGTAGCCGTCCAGAAAGCCATCATGCACCTGGGGGATTGGAACCCAGGGGGAGAACACGCGAGGCTTTTGTTAGAAAAGGACAGCGGTGAGCAGCAGGAGCCGCGGCTTCACGGACTTGTAACCGTCCAGAAAGCCGTCATGCACCTGAGAGAGGGCGGGAGCGTTGCAGCGAAGGGGCAACACTCATCAGAGGGAGGAGAAGGACACGAGAGCCTGTTGAGAGAAGGTCAGCAGCACAATGGTGTACCTGAGCAACAGCAGCAGAGGGAGCCGCAGCTTCCTTTAGAGTCGGCTCAAAATGCACCTCACTACACGCGGATTTTGAGGCGCCTCAAAATGCACCTCACTACACGCGGATTTTGAGGCGCCTCAAAATGCACCTCACTACACGCGGATTTTGAGGCGCCTCAAAATGCGTTGCAGCGAAGGGGCAACACTCATTAGAGGGAGGAGAAGGACACGAGAGCCTGTTGAGAGAACGTCACACAGTGGTGTACCTGAGCAGCAGCAGAGGGAGCCGCAGCTTCCTTTAGAGTCGGCTCAAAAGTCAGCTTCAAGGGCGTGAATCCATCCCAGAAAGCGGTCATACACCTTTTAAAAAAACTCAAAAGCGCCTCACAGACTTGAACCCATCCCAGAAAAAACGTCATGCACAGAGAGGGCATGCGAGGACATGCGAGGGCATGCGAGGACATGCGAGGACATGCGAGGACATGCGAGGACATGCGGGAATTGGACGCGCAACATCGGTGAAGAATTGAACTAAAGAAGAGGGCATGCGAGGTTGTTGAAAATGTTCTTTGAGAATTCTCCAAGGACATGCACAACATCGGTGACGAATTGGACTGAAGGGCATGCGAGGCTGTTGAAAGAAACGGGACAACAGCAGTGTGCAGCAGTGTGCAGCGGTGTGCAGCGGTGTGCAGCGGTGTGCCTGAGCAGCAGAATGTGGCGAGGCTTTTCGGACTGGTACCCATCCCAGAAAGCCGTCATACGATTGTGGGATTCGAGTAGAAGGAGAAAACACTCTACCTTGATATCCATCTTGTTATCCTCGTCAGTTAAGTCCGAGTCAAAGCTGGGTTTGTGGCACCGCAAAGGTCTTTTGGGGTAGTTTTTGGAACACATGGAACTGTCACGTTACCTTGATGTCCATCTTGTTATCCTTGTCAGTTAAGTCCGAGTCAAAGCTGATTTTGGTTTTGGGGTGGAGGGGTTTACTTTTCAGCCGACTCAAAACCCAGCCCATGGGCCGCCTAAAAAAGAGTTACCTTGATATCCATCTTGTTATCCTCGTCAGTTAAAGTCTGAGTCAAAGCTGAATTTGGGTTGGGTTGGGGGGAAGAGGCTGACTTTTGAGTCAACTTAAAAGTCAGCTCCTGAGTCAACTCGAATCACGTTACCTTGATGTCCATCTTGTTGTCCTCGTCAGTTAAGTCCGAGTCAAAGCTGGATTTGGGTTGGGGGGAATAGGGGGAGGGAGGAGGGAAGGAAAGAAGGGATTGTGAGGGACGGAAAGGACAAAGAGGAAAAGGGAAACAAGAAGATCCTGCATGGAGAATGGTGGGTTTACTTTTAGGATGAATACATTTTGGAATATCAGATGATAGCTCAGATGGTATGAATTGGATGAAACCGAATTGTTTCCGTTTATATATATATATATATATATATAACCGCATCATAAAGCGTGTACACATAGTATGCTTGAACTTGACAACAACATTCTGGGCACTATCCACATCTGTGCAGCACTCACTTTTCCCTGTGCAGCCTCAGGTCTGCCATTGCATCCTTGAGCATGGGAACATCAGATGGAAGGTCAAGATCAATGCGCTATGGCATGGCCAATGGCAGGACAAAGTAAGCGTAGAGCCAGTCACATTGGGACAGCGCATGGGCACTGGCACGGCATACGCAATGGCACGGGCATTGGCAACGCATGGGCCACGCAACACTCACTTCTCCTTGTGCAGCCTCAGGTCCGTCAGAGCGTCCTTGATCTTCTGCCCTGCCTGTTGGTTGGTGGCCGAGGGAAGCAAAGGAGCAACGGGAGAGGGTGTGCGGGAGGCAGATGGGGATTATGGGTATGGCACATGTGTAGTGTGGCATCCACTTCTCCTTGTGAAGCCTCAGGTCTGTCAGAGCGTCCTTGATCTTCTGACCTGCCTGTTGGTTGGTGGCCGAGGGAAGCAAAGGAGCAACGGGAGTGGGCGTGAGAGAGGCACATGGCGGATTATGGTTATGGGCACATCATATGGTTATGGGCACATCATATGGTTATGGGCACATCATATGGTTATGGGCACATCATATGGTTATGGGCACATCACATGTTTATGGGCACATCATATGGTTATGGGCACATCATATGGTTATGGGCACATCATATGGTTATGGGCACATCATATGGTTATGGGCACATCACATGGTTATGGGCACATCATATGGTTATGGGCACATCATATGGTTATGGGCACATCATATGGTTATGGGCACATCACATGGTTATGGGCACATCATATGGTTATGGGCACATCATATGGTTATGGGCACATCATATGGTTATGGGCACATCACATGGTTATGGGCACATCATATGGTTATGGGCACATCACATGGTTATGGGCACATCATATGGTTATGGGCACATCACATGGTTATGGGCACATCACATGGTTATGGGCACATCATATGGTTATGGGCACATCACATGGTTATGGGCACATCACATGGTTATGGGCACATCATATGGTTATGGGCACATCACATGGTTATGGGCACATCATATGGTTATGGGCACATCATATGGTTATGGGCACATCATATGGTTATGGGCACATCATATGGTTATGGGCACATCACATGGTTATGGGCACATCATATGGTTATGGGCACATCACATGGTTATGGGCACATCACATGGTTATGGGCACATCACATGGTTATGGGCACATCATATGGTTATGGGCACATCACATGGTTATGGGCACATCACATGGTTATGGGCACATCACATGGTTATGGGCACATCACATGGTTATGGGCACATCACATGGTTATGGGCACATCACATGGTTATGGGCACATCACATGGTTATGGGCACATCACATGGTTATGGGCACATCACATGGTTATGGGCACATCACATGGTTATGGGCACATCACATGGTTATGGGCACATCACATGGTCACATCACATGGTTATGGGCACATCACATGGTCATGGGCACATCACATGGTCATGGGCACATCACATGGTTATGGGCACATCACATGGTTATGGGCACATCACATGGTTATGGGCACATCACATGGTTATGGGCACATCACATGGTTATGGGCACATCACATGGTTATGGGCACATCACATGGTCATGGGCACATCACATGGTCATGGGCACATCATATGGTTATGGGCACATCATATGGTTATGGGCACATCATATGGTTATGGGCACATCACATGGTTATGGGCACATCATATGGTTATGGGCACATCACATGGTTATGGGCACATCACATGGTTATGGGCACATCACATGGTTATGGGCACATCATATGGTTATGGGCACATCACATGGTTATGGGCACATCACATGGTTATGGGCACATCACATGGTTATGGGCACATCACATGGTTATGGGCACATCACATGGTTATGGGCACATCACATGGTTATGGGCACATCACATGGTTATGGGCACATCACATGGTTATGGGCACATCACATGGTTATGGGCACATCACATGGTTATGGGCACATCACATGGTTATGGGCACATCACATGGTCGTGGGCACATCACATGGTCATGGGCACATCACATGGTTATGGGCACATCACATGGTTATGGGCACATCACATGGTTATGGGCACATCACATGGTTATGGGCACATCACATGGTTATGGGCACATCACATGGTCATGGGCACATCACATGGTCATGGGCACATCACATGGTTATGGGCACATCACATGGTTATGGGCACATCACATGGTTATGGGCACATCACATGGTTATGGGCACATCACATGGTTATGGGTGGCACATTTGCATAGTTCATTCTCTAAGTGCAGCCTGAGAGAACCGTCAATGCACTCTTGAGAGATTCCGACCTGTCTCATCCCCCCGACCTGTCTCATCCCCCGACCTGTCTCATCCCCCGACCTGTTAGCTTCCCACCTGTCCATCCTTGAGCATGGCCGCATTGGCCACCTCCGTGCCTCGAAAGGTCACTACCACCCTCTCTCTCCCTGCATCCGCATCCCCATAAAGAGCCCCAATCCCCTCACTTCTCTTGCTCTATTCCCACCTGTCCATCCTTGAGCATGGCCGCATTGACCACTTCAGTGCCTCGAAAGTCCATTACCCCACCAGTCCCTTCCCATCCCTATTTTTTCACTTCTCACCAGTCCCTTCCCATCCAAAAAACTTCACTTCTCACCAGTCCCTTCCCATCCAAAAAACTTCACTTCTCACCAGTCCCTTCCCCTGGCACCAGTCTCACCAGTCTCACTTCTCTTCGCATCTCACCTGTCCATCCTTGAGCATGGCCGCGTTGACCACCTAAGTCCCTCGGAACGACACCACCAGCCTCTTCCTCCTCACATCCCCACCAAAGGGCGGATGGGAGGGAAGCATGCGGCTGGTGCCACCTGCTCGCTTCTCACCTGTCCGTCTTTCAGCATGGCCACATTGACCACCTCAGTGCCTCGGAACGACACCACCAGCCTCTTCCTCCGGGGGTCCTTGTCCCTCCACACGCCCACCTGCACACCATAATAAAAACTCCCCACACATGATTTCCAAGGGGCAGCCGCACGCAATAAGAACCACAGCGAAACAACAGGGAAGTGAGTGACAGAACGAATAATCCTGCATCCAAACAGGTGGTCTTGCAATGCCTGAAACCGCGACCCAAAACGCAACTCAAATCGTGGCCCATAAAGCGAGTGAAGTCGTGACTCATAACGTACCATAAAACTCACTCATCTGCGTATCCGACTTTCCACTGTGCTGACACACCTTTTGAGGCGTCTAAACATATGCCTCCGCATATTCCTCAAAAAGCGACTCAAAAACACACAAACCTGCGTGTCCGACTCGCCACTGCTCAGGAAGCACACGCATTCAAACGCCGACTTGAAAAACTCCGGCTGCCCGCCCGCAGCTGCCCTAGAAAGGTTTTCCCAGGCAGCGAGCGTCACGTTATTGGCTCCTGTGGCAAAAAGAGCTTCAACTGCCCGTTGATCTTGAAGGGAGAGCCCGTACGCTGCTGCTTCAACTTCAGTTTTTGAATCTTCCCCTGTTTTTACAGCGGCCACTTGCCCTGCTGCTGCTGCTGCTGCTGCAGTGGCAGTGGCAGCAGCTGTGGCATTATTCTTGACGGAGCTGCCTTGAGAAAGAGTGGCCGATGGTTGAAAGGCTGAGGCGGGAAGAGGCGAGCTGAGAAGCCTCTGGAGGATGGGGAGAGGCTCGAAGCTGGGAGGGGTTGGGCAGGGAGGGAAGGCAGGAAGAGACAAGGTGAGACGAGGACACTCGTGCCGCTGCTGCTGCTGCTGCTGCTGCTGCTGCTGCTGCT